CCCCCCCCCGATTACCACGGTGCCCCCGTTTCCTGAGCCATTTTCCCAGCATCCCCTGGGGTTGGTGCTCTAGGGCCGCAGCTGCAGGGGATGCTGGGAGTCTGGCTCAGGGTGGCGGGGTCTGGGGGCTCCCTGGGAGCGGGGGCTGGGGAGTCGCGCCACGTCGGAAGGGCTGGGGCGACCTGCCGCGGGGCGGGGACGCGGGACCACCTGGCATACAGGGAGCGTGTCTTAGTGCTGCCCAGGGCGTGGCCCCGGTAGGACCCTGTCCGACCCTGCCCCTGGCAGTCTGGGGTAGAGCTGAGGGCAGTTTTTTTGCCTATAACATTTTAAACCAGCTCTCCCAAATGTCAGGCCCTGTGGGCCTGCATTTTAAATGTACTTTAAAAACGTAAAGGCCGTATTGGGTCTGACCAATGGTCTTCTCGTAGTAGCCAGTGCCAGGTGCTTTGGGGTTGTTTCCCTATTTGTAGTTGTTTGGGGTCTTGTTGCATCATCTTAGCCCTGCTTAACATGGCATAGCCCGTTTCCCATCTGTATATGCTGTGAGGGGTATTGGTTAGAACAGGGGACTGGAAGTCAGGACTCCTGGGTTCAATTCTTTGCTCTGCTTGTGACCTTTGGCCAAGCTGCTAAATGGGTGGTTCTTGCCAAAATCCTCACTCTGGGAGAAGTGAAAAAGCCTGACAGCTAAAATGCCAGTGGGGGTTTTAGTGCACTTCAAAAATGATTTTTTTTTTAAATGTAGCTTTTCCCCTCGCTTCCAACCCCGGCCTCTTCTTTCTTGCTCAGAGAGAGTCAGAGCGGCTGCTGCTCTAATGACTTGAGTGGTGGACAGGCAGAGTCTCTGCTCCGTCTCCTGTTTGTGAAAATGGGACACCCTTTTCTCTCTCAGTTCCTCTGGAGGGTTCCAGAATGGACTCCAAGACTCAGCTCCTCTAAGCTATTTAGACACTGAATGGGAGCTAGGTGCCTACATGCCTTTGTGAATCTGGGCCTGGGTGGAAATGGTGAAGGGTGTTGCACTGACAATCATGCTGCTGGTTCCTTTGCTGGTCCTGTGGCTCTGGAGAAGCAGCCAGAAAGAAGCCATTCAGACCCCTTTCCTACTTCTGCCTGCTGTCTCCTGGCAGCTGGAGTAGACCTTGCTTATTAGTTCTCCCATACACACTTTCCGGGACTGCAGCGTGTGAAGCGGGAAGCAGCCAGTGCTCTCTGGGGAGAAGGGCTGGTAGTCAATTTGCTGTAGGATAGTGATGATTGGTGCAGGATCCTTAAGTCCCGATTTCCTTTCATCCTGGTGTTCAGGGTTTCTTTTTAAACTATAACAATCTGTTCCCTTTTTTTCCTGCTAAGTGAATTACTGAATTGCCAGCCCTAACTCGGGGTTTGTAGAGCATGCAATGATCACTTAAAATCCATTTTCTGTCTATTGTATTTGCAAGGCACCGTGATCCTTGTTGGATGGCATTCATGAGCCACAGCATAGAGTCACCAGTACTGTGGGCCTTTGTGAATGTGACTCAGGGCCCCTCCCCAGAGGAGCCAGGCTCAATCTGACTTAATGGTTTGGTATCCACCACATAAGTTTGGAGGGGATATTTTGCCTTAAAGCTGTGGAATCTGATCCTTTAGCCCAGTACCATGTATGGCACAGTGAGACACTCTCATCACTCCTGGAAACAAGTGAGACTAGAAATTAACATCTGAAAATTCTAACTCATGAGACCCAGACAAAAGAATTGGGTGAATTAGATCCCAGTTGCCCCTTCCCCAGGATCCTTATTCATGACTGTCCCATTAAACTGAGCAGAATGTGTCCTTCACCCATCTGCGTTCTTTTTTTCTTTTGCCAGCTTTGCGTGGTGATCTCAGGATGGAAACTATACTGTCAGCTAGGCAGATCCGGCAAAAGTTCATTGATTTCTTCAAGGAGCACCAGCACACCTATGTCCACTCATCTGCGACTATCCCCTTGGACGATCCTACGCTGCTCTTTGCCAATGCTGGCATGAATCAGGTAGGACTCTCTCCCAGGACTGTGTGACTTTGGTACTTGTCCTGTGCTTTCTGCCGGAGCAAAGAACTGAGGGGTGCTTAGCCGTGTATATTGTGGGTAGTACTTATCACACTGAAATTCATTCTGGTGAGATATAATGGGCCTGAATTGTTCCAGCAGTTCCCCTGTCAGGCCCCTGGCTGCGGGCTCTCAGTGCTGTGATGTGATGATGATAGATAAGATGTCCCTGGACTCTGGAGGGCCCGGCGCAGGGCATCCCTGGCTGGGAATGGAGTCTGGCCATGGCATCCCGGGGGATGTACTAAATCAGCACATCCCTGGGCAGCTTTTCTCCACAATGATTCTGCTAAGCCGTGGTTGGTGTTTAAAGCCTCCCTCCCTCCCCATACGGAATCCTTGGTGGAGGTGCAGACTGCTCCCTGCTCCTCAGGGGAGTCTTGCTCACACCCAGAAGGCTCTTCAGAGACATTTCCGTTCTGTGCACCAGGCAGCATTTTCCTCATTCCCATTCTGTCATTGCGTCACTAGGGCCTGATCCAAGAACCCAGGCAGTCAGGACAAGACTACAGGCGCTTAGCACCAAGCAAACAAATCCTGTTTTTAAAAAACATTGGTAGTCTTTTATTTTGAATGGGGGGGAGGGGGGAGCATAATTGCCCTCCTTGGCACAGACAGGTGGATGCGGCACCCCTGAGAGTCCACCAGTACTGCTCCTGGTTTGGCAGGAGTGATGGAAAGGTGCCTTAGTGTGGTGGAGTGGCGACCTCAGCATTTCTAAATACACGCCTCAGGCATGTTCTTATTGGCCCACATATACTGACCCACAGAGTGCTCGCTGCCTAGGTGAGTTCTTAAGTTTAAATCATCTTGTTGCTATTTCCTCCCAGTTCAAACCCATTTTCCTCAATACCCTTGATCCCTCCCACCCCATGGCTAAACTGACCAGAGCCGCCAATACCCAGAAGTGCATCCGAGCTGGGGGCAAACACAACGACCTGGATGATGTGGGGAAAGACGTCTACCACCACACCTTCTTTGAGATGCTGGGGTCCTGGTCATTTGGAGATTACTTCAAGGTAAGCTTCAAGGTCAATGGGGATCTGGAATCTAAGCAGAGCTTTCATGAAGTTTAAGGCCAGAAGGGACCATCAGATCATCTAGTCTGACCTTCAGGTCACTAAACTTCACCCAAATACCTCTACATTGAGCCGAATGACCTCAGTTAAACCAGTCCTTGGGAGGTTAACACAAGGACTGTTGTGTGCTGCAGGCAGAGAATGGGAGTGACTGAGATGCCACTAATGCCCATGTTCCCTGTGATGGCAGGGAACTGATTAGGTTGGTTATGCCTGTTAGAGGGCTGGATAAAGGTCTCAGCCAATCTGACCTGAGGGAAGATTCCTTCCCGACCCCAAATCTGGTGATCAATTAGCCCCTGAGCATGGTAGTAAGATGCATAAGTCAGTCGCCTAAGACAGAAAATTCTGTATACCACCTCACAGCAGTGGGGCCATTGATTTGATAGAAAGTAAAAATGCAAAAACGAAGAAGAACGTATCTGAGCATCGGATAGTAAAGCACTTGGGACTCTTATGGGTGGAAAAAGCCCATAGCTGCCTACCTGCCTCCCAGGGATGTTGAGAGGATTAATTAGCTAACGTTTGTAAATCACTTTGGATGTGAAAAGCTCTCTGTAGAATTGTTCTTGTCTGTCTAATCTCTGTACTTTTATGACCTCTTACACGGCACTATCTGAACATCTTGTTCATCTGCACTACAGCAGCATGACCAACATTCATTCTTATAACAATAGGGAATCAATAAAAAATACAAATAAACCAGTACTTTTAAATTGGATTAAAGTCTCCTGGTCCAGTGGGCTACGAAAGGCAAAGCAAATCCTTGTATCAGGCTTTTAGCGTCTAGGCAGGCTATCATCCAGAATGATCATTTTCCAGTGCACTTTCTGCAGCCCTTCATTTGTAGGTGACTCAGACTGCAGGCGTTAGAACTTTGGAGGCAGGGTTCCTGCGGATGTTCTGGGTGCAAGCCGGAGTTAGTGAGAAGGACTTGCTGAGGAGATAGGAGCATAAAATGGGGAAGTGTGATATCCTTGCAAGTGGCTTAGTTCAAGAGTTAATACTGTGCCAAGGAACTTCATGAAGCTGATCAAAGTGCAGCAAGGTGATTAAAATAACAGTTGAACCAAAAATCAACGAGGAAAGAGAGAATCACAGTGGAACCTGCTAAGTGTTAATTTTTTATTCTTTGGCTGATTGTAGGAAGCCATCCAGGGAACCCTCAGTTTATTGATGTATGGGGATTTCCTGGCCCCTGCAAATATTGGCCTGCCTGTTTCAGCTGTCGTTAGCTAAAGCACTCCGGTTCTTGAGCTTATTTGCTATCTAAAAGTCTGAGACTTCAGCTCATTTCAGGTTCTGAGGGGCAGGTGTTTGGCAGAGCTGGCAGTTCAAAGGGGTACTTGCAGTGGGTCTAGAGAGAGGGGCAATCCATTGTGTAGGTTCCAGGCCTCAATTCTTTTCACGCAATGGAGTCAGTGAGAGGATGTTTCATGTGTTCTGTGTTCCCTGTGCTTCCTATTCAGTTTACTTTAGACTTGTGATGTGCAAAGCCTATTCTGAGGCATTACATAGTTTGTGCCTTCAACCCCTGCCTGCTCTGGGTTGGGCTGTGTTGTATGGGTAAGAAGATCTGTTTGCTTTTCCTCACTCACCTTGTCTTTCCTGGTGCAGGAACTGGCTTGTAAACTGGCTCTGGACCTTCTCACCGACGAGTTCGGCATCCCCATTGAAAGACTCTATGTCACTTACTTTGGTGGCAACAAGGCAGCCGGATTAGAGCCAGACCTTGAGTGCAAACAGATCTGGCGGGATTTGGGGTAAGGGCATTTAAAAATATAACTGTTCTTATGAAAACGGTGCTGGTGATAGGTGCAGGCCTGGCAGCCTTGGCACCTGGAGTCCCTTGTTTGCCCATGCCATGGTTGAGGCAGAATAAGCTTCACGTTGTCTCACCAGTGAGCCAAACCACACCCTAAAGGGACAGCCTGATGGGGTGAGAAATAATTCACTCCCCACAGCCCAGTCAGTCTTTGACCTCCCTGCTGAGATGACTCACGTGACACTGATGCTCCGTGGTCTGGCGGCCTCTTGGTTTCTAGATGGAGTTAAAGGTGTAGGCTGCGATCGGTAAAGCCCTAAACGGCCTGGGATGCGTCTGCCTGACAGAGCACTCCTGCGCCATCCTGCTGCAGTAGTGCTCAGCAAAAACGTTTGAGGTGGAATTGCTTTGGCTTGCCAGAATGGGAGCTGCTGACGTGGTGTTCTCCACAAGGAGCCTGTGACTTGGGGATTGCTTTCCTCTTGGGCTGAAACAGTCTGGATCTGCTGATTTCCAGGGCATGCTGCAAAATCTGTCTTTTCAAATGGGTGTTTGGAACGGGAGAAGGCTGGGGAAATTTGAGGGGAAGGGAAGTTTCCATTTAGTGATGATTTAATTTACTGCCATTTACAAGAGCTGAGATCTGCTGCTGCTTTGTTCTGTAGTCACAGATTGGATTTTCAGTGGCACCTGAGCCTGGGCGATTACAGAGATTGAAACAAGTAAAACATTGACCCTGCCTAACCATGCAACCCTTGCCAGCTAGGAAGTGGGATCTCTGGGATTGTAGGTGCACCTGTGAAGGCTGAATCCCTTCAGCATAGGATTACTGGACAGACTCAGGATGTGCAAATTCTCTTCCATCAGCAAGAGTGGGCCATTGCCGTGAAAGAATTAACCTTATACCAGGGTGAATAAAAATCAATGATTTAAAAAAAAAATAAAATAAAAAAAAATCGGATTTTTTTGATAAAATGCTTTTTGAGGGGGAAAACCTATCTAAAGATAGTTTTAATTAGCTCAAAGATATCTCATCACGGAATAGGGATTATAAATCCTAATTTTATAGTATGAGACAATATATTCATGTAATGTTTAAGAAAAGTTTTGTAAATGAGTTCCAATAGTTCATGGATTGGGGACCCAATCTTATGGGGTTCCAGGGGCTGCTGTATAGATTATTTAAATTAATCTTTCTATCTACCCAATGGGACTCAGTGCTCAGTCTAGAAGATACCATCAGAGATGCCTAGTTTTGCAGTTCTCAAACTGTGGATTTGTGTCTCCAGAGATAACATGCTTGTTAACAGCAAAAATGTTTTTAAAGACATAAATAAATAATATATAGAAGTGAGAAATAGCAGACCTCAACCCTATTGTCCCTCTGCAAATTTGTGTACACGGAGTCAATCCCTTCCCTCTCTCTAAAAGTGAAAAGTTTCAAAAAGTTGAATGAATAGAAGATTGTTGGGGGCGGAATAGATCTGGACAAGGAGAAGAAGTCTGGAGATAAATTTGAGAAGGGAGGGACAGGCAGTAGAAACAAAAGTGAAACTGTTTGAGCAGTATATTCCAGAAGTCTTGAGGCCTTTCTGAGTGTAGCCTTCATTGATTTGAGATCTACCATACCATTCTCTCACTAGAAGGGAAAACCTATAATGACAGCAGGCTGTAAGACACCCAGTTTGGGAATATTTTAATGAAGTTCCTGTACCTGAGAAGAATATGTATTAAGGTTATAACAGCCAACAAGAATGCACTTTGATGTAGAAATCCATGATTAAATCGAGTCTTCCTGACTAGTGATTTAAATCATCCCTGCCTTGTATCACTGAAATGGAATCAGAAACCACATGGAAACCCATTTATGACCATGCTCAAGATACATTGCTGGCTGAAATCCCATATACTTTGCAGTGGGAACAGCGGGAGTAGGTGGTATTTACTTCACACGGCATTTTATTTTAAGGAAATGCAGCATGTCTTATTTGGCAATGGACACACATCAGTGGGTCTTCACCGTGGCAGCATATCACAGATCATGTTCTCTGGGTGGCAGAGCCATAAAGCCAAGTGCTTTGAGGTGACACTCGTTAGGAAAAGGGAGTGATTGAGGTGCATCCCGTTGTAGCTTTGTTTAAATAAAGCCTGGGCATTCTACACAGAAGAAAACCTCTAATGAAGCCTAACCAAGGCCAGTGGCCAGCTGCAGCCTTCAGGGCCTTGTCCCTGAGGACAGAAGGTTGTAAAAAATTGATGACTTTCAGTTCTAAAAGCACATGGTGGCACCTTAAAAATATTCTCCATGCAACAGGCCTCTCCCCAGGAGAGATGACTTCTTGTGAATGTGTCAGTTTGGGTGGGGGGCACTTGTTTGGTCCTGCTAGGATGGGAAGTCCAACTGGTAGGTGTTAGAAAGCAGGATCTCAGCTGGGTCTCTCTCAAAAGCCTGTGGGCTCTTCCAACCCATTCAATGAGTTTTAATGAGTAAAAGGTGGTTTCTTTGTTTGCCCCTGAATTGGGGGAGGTCTTGCTCTCACCTCTCTAATTTAACGGGCACTTTCCTGGTACAGACTGGCTGAGAGCAAGATTCTGCCTGGCAGCATGAAGGATAACTTCTGGGAAATGGGAGACACAGGCCCCTGCGGCCCCTGCAGTGAGATTCATTATGACCGGATTGGGGACAGGGATGCCTCGCACCTCGTCAATCAAGATGACCCCAATGTCTTGGAGATCTGGAACCTGGTGTTCATACAGTTTAACAGGTGAGCCAAGAGCCTGCCCCCTCCACACATTTCTTGTTTGATGGAGAATGAGCACTTCACTCTAGTAAAAAGACAGCTCTGGAAAGCCGCAGCACCGGGAGCCTCCACGCTCCAGTGTGAATTGTTCTCGCCAACCCCACAGCTGGCTTCTGAGCTGTCCCCGATGGGTGTTGGGGGAATATGGTTAAATTGTGAAATTTGGGATTTAGGAGGAGGGAGGTTGTAGTTCATCTGCTGTTACCTCCCACTGTTTTTCCCTGTGTAACACCTATGCCCCGTGACTAGCTCCCGCCACTGCTGTGCCTCATCAGGCACAGGGGGCCCCATTAAAACTCCTCTTTCTTCACCCTCCACACCCCAGCAGCTAAGCTGCACTCCCAGCGCCCCATGTCACTTGGTACAGTGTATTTTGTGTGTTAACCATCCTCCCCAAGCAGCCGTTGGGAGCAAATAACCAAGCCCAGCTACTGAGTGGAAAGGACTATCATGGAGCAGTGAGAGCAGAATGTGGCAGCACAGCTGCTCGGAGGCTCTGCAAGCTGCCTGTCATTCAGTGAGAGTCCTTCAGACCAAACACCGGGCTCACGTCTGTGCCATCTCCCATCACAGCCCTTGATCAGTGGGGTTGAGGCTGCTGACCTTTCCCTCGTTCTAGCTCTGGAAGGAGGGCCAGTCTGCCACTGGCCTGTGACTTTGGAATGCTCTCCCTTACCCCCATATACATGAGACAGCCTGTGGCAGCCTCCTGGGCTAGGCTGGGGACACTTATTCAGCCCATTTTTCTGGGGTGAGGGAGGATTTGTTTATGCTGGTTCTAGTTTGCTCTTGAGTGTCTTGTTAATTACCCTCTTATTAAGGCTCCCAGGGGCCCATGTGTATGCCTGCCTCATAAGACCAATGGGATCGTTTAAAGACATGTGGGGATGAGGGAAGAGATGGCAACCCCCCTGCAGCAACCCGTTCAACGACTGTTTGTCTTTCTCCCTGGGGTTGGGCAGAGAGGCTGACGGGACCCTGAAACCCCTTCCCAAGAAGAACATTGATACTGGGTTGGGTCTGGAAAGGCTGGTGTCTGTGCTGCAAAACAAGATGTCCAACTATGACACTGATCTCTTCATCCCCTACTTTGAAGCCATCCAGAAGGTACAGATCCGTGACTGGCCCATTGAACCTGATCAAAATGTATCTGCTTCCCCTGTTATGCATAGCCTCATAGGTGTGCATGGCACCGTGCAGTCAGGGAAGCTGTCCCAGAGGATGGGACCATGGTGACTTCCTAGCAGCTGTGAGAACGACCTGTCATGAACCTAAAAGCGCTTGGCTTGCAGATTTGTACCTTGGTAAGGGTAGACGACTAGACTATTCCGTAGCTGCTGCTTTAGGAGTGAATCTGGGGAGAGCATGTGAGATGTGCTGACCATGAACCGTTTGGTCGTCTTTGAAAGTAGGAGACACCGCCCTCCCCTCTATAGCTGCCTTCCTTTTGCAAGCTTTCTAACTGCACTAAGATTTTCAGAGCCCTAGAAAGCCTGACTCAAAGGGACTTCCATTTTAAACAAACGGACCTGATCAGTAGGCTTGAGATGGCACAGCTCCGTGTTCAGGGCCAAGCTCCATTGGTCATGCTCTGGGCCAGCAGAGGCTGGGAACTTTGCAGAAGCAGCATGTCCCTCCTTTGGGAGTCTTGGTGGAGAGGGTGCCCCACCTCTCCTTTTGATTACTCCCCCCGACCCTGTCTAAGCACTGGGGGAAGTCTCATTGTGCTCTGGAGGGTGCCGCGTCCAGCTCTCCTCAACTGGAAAGACGGGTGGACCCAGTGTGGGGATCTAGGTGGTGAAACTAGGTCCAAAGCCAAACTTCAGCAGCCAGTCACCTGCCTTACTTAAAACCCCCTGCTCCAAGGCTTGCCGGACTATGTAGCTTGACTTTTATAATCCATCTCTGTTAGGTAAGTGGCATATGCTGGCCTGCTGGGTGGTGTCTGAAAGGTGTGCAGCAGAAGAGGGTGGATTTATGCTCCTTTTTGATGGATACATAAAGCCTGAAAAGATTTTTTTCAAAAAGAGTTGTTTTTCTGCTTGCTTTTCTCATTCGGAATATCCCATGTGATCATCTTGATTTTGCTGGAAGACTCTGAATTGTGGATTGTGAGCAATCTTAGCCCTTGGGGTGGGGGTGAGGGGTGTTGAATCTTTAACAAAGACATCCTTTCTCCTGAACGTTTCTCAAACGTTGGAATTGACTAGATGTTAACACATGGGTTTCACTGTCTGATAAAAATCCCTTCCCCAGTAGGCTTTCACTTACTGGGGGTTTCTGATATCCTCATCCTACCAGTCTCCCAGTCATCCACAGAGTCCTTTCTGCAAATGAGTTGACAGGATCAATATTTCGAATATTAAAAAAAACAGTCAGAAAAGCTGCATTTTGGGGGCTTGTTTCTGAAAAGCCTTCCCAGGCCATCTCCATCGACCATAAAGAAACAAAGAGAGGGCCACAAACACGTTTCTCTTTGCAGGTCGCCTTTAAGGCGGCTTTCCTTGAACACCCTCTGGCTTTGTCAGTGAAGGAAGAAGCCAGGCCCTGAAAGCAGCAACAGAGCGTGGTAAATAGAATGGGGACTGCAGTGAAACTGCTTGGGGGAAAGACTTGTTGGCTGTATTGGTTATGCCTGGCTGGAGTCTGTGACCCAACATAGCAAAACCAGCCGTGTCCCTGCCCCAGCTGTCACTCCAAATCCAGTCACTGCCTTCGCTGACCTGGGCTCTGTCTGAATGCTGGAACCAAGCAGTGTCACTTTGCGTGTGCCCAGTGTGCCCTTCTGATCAGGGAGAGCTGAGCTTGGCTCCTTCCAGAGCCACTCGACCTCTATTCCGGGGGGGGGGGGGGGGGGGGGGGGGGGGGACAGCGAGGTAACCTCCTCCCATCCAGAGGAGTGTGCTGCCTCCATAACATTCCCAGCCTCTACTGGCCCTGAGCAAGAAGAGCAAGGCCAGCCCTGGACTTGGGTCATCTAAGCCATGCTGCCGAGCAGAGCCATGTATCTAACCATATGTGTGTGTCTCTCTAATCAGACAAGACAGCAAGGTTCTCCATACCCACTGTCTCCTCTCTCTGCCTAGGGCACTGGGGCCAGGCCGTACACAGGGAAGGTTGGTGCTGAGGATGTAGACGGTATAGACATGGCATACCGAGTCCTGGCAGACCACGCCCGAACTATCACCGTGGCTCTTGCTGATGGAGGGAGACCTGACAACACTGGCAGAGGGTAAGAGTGCATGTGGCACAACTGTGCATTACTGAACCGGGGAGGAAGCCGGAGTGGCGTTACTGCAGGGGGTGTGTGTGTCCAGAGGCTGCAGTTCAGTCCTGGCGATGATGAAATTCCACCATTTAGAGGCAGGTGAAACTTACAGCCATTGACATCTTGATCTTGGAAACAGAGGTGGTGTGATGTCCCCCTCTGCTTTGGGTGCAGTGAGGGTCTTCTCACTCCTTTGGGCATCTGGAGATCCCGCATTTGAACCACCTCCACATGCAAGGCCCTGTTTCCTTGTAACGGAGAAGGCTGGAAGGGATCAATAGCAGGGCTTGGAGCCAGGCTTATTGTGGTTTGGGTAAGTGCTGTGCAGACTTTCCACCCAGTGCTGCCAGTGCATGTCGGTCCTGAGCTTCAGCTTTGCCCCTGCTATTCCAGCTCTGGGCTTGCCACACACACGCTTCGGCCAATGTCCCTCACTGCTGACGTGCAGCTGCTCCACAGAGAGGCAGTTCCCAAGCTGTAAGAATGTAAATATATGAATAGGGCTATACTGCAGGCCTCTGTGTCAAGTAAAGGAGACTGAGTGAGCGCAGTGTTGAGAGATCAGAGGTAGCAAAATCGAACAACATGGTAGTAATTGGAGACCCCCACTAACCACGTAAAATGGTCAAATGTTCCAACTTGGCCCCATTGGGTCAGCTAGTTCTAGAGCACAAGAGGAGAGGTCGTTCTTAACTCGGCTTTAAGTGAACGCACAGGCACCAGTTCAAGAAGGGAGAGTAGTTGAGCCACTCTAACAGTGACCACAATATAATTAGTGTTGATATCCAAGGGGCGGGTAGGCTACAGAAAGGGACACAGCATCATTAACCTTTAGAAAGGGAGATTTCAGTAAAATGTGAAGGTTAGTCAAAAAGGCCCCAAAGCTAAAAATAAAGGAGGTAAACTTCATAGATGGATCAACCCTAGAAAGGGACCTGGGTGTCAAAGCAATGAGATTTAGGATGTCAGGAATGGGGTGGAGAATAACACTGAAAGTAGTAAAATGTCTTGATGTAAATGAAAGGTGTGGCCTTGTCTGTCACTGGTCACCCTATCTTATTGCAGAACTAGAGATGTGGTCAGAGAAGAGTGATGAGAATGATCAATGGCCTGGAAAAACTCTCATGTGACGAGTGATTGAAAAACTGGGATTGTTACCTGAGCAAAGAGAGAGAGAAAAGGGGACGCAGTAGAAGTATGGAAAATACTGACTGTTCTAGAGAAGGTAGATCCAGAAGTTCTGGTGTCTGTGTCTCATAACACAAGAACAAGGGGACATTGAATAAAATTAAAAGGAAGAAAATTCAAAACTAATAGAAGGAAATATTTTTCTACGCAGTGCATAATTAGACTGTGGAACTCATGAACACAGGAAGTCTGTGAGGCCAAGAATTTAGCAAGATGCAAAAAGGCATTGGACACTTATACAGATATCAAGAATAGCCAGAGTGATCATAATTACTGATCCCAACACTTTGGGACGGGATGTGAAACCTTATGCTGCTGGGCGGAAGCTAGGCTCTAACTAACAGAGGGCAGATTATCTCACATCTATTACTATAGGGTTTTTACACCTTCCTCTGATGGACCTAGGCTCTGATGCAGCCTGGCGCATGTTCGAGTCTGTCACAGCTGTGCTGATGCCCCTCAGTCCTGACACCTAGCCCCTCTGCTGTTCTAGTCCTGCTCCCCACACTCTGCCAGCGCACCTCATCTCCCACCCACAGGTGCTGAGGGCGTGGATTCCAAAACTAGGTGGGAGGAGCTGAGGAAGAGGCCCTCAGTCGCATTGCCCATGGTTAGCTGCTGGTGGATCCCACTGGCAGGAGGGGAGGGGTGTAACATCGGAGTGAGGATCCCCTCTCTCTGCGCTGTTCCTGCAGGTATGTTCTGAGAAGGATTCTCCGGCGGGCCGTGCGCTACTCCCACGAGAAGCTCAATGCCCCCAAGGGCTTCTTCGCCTCACTGGTCGACGTCGTGGTGCAGTCGCTGGTAGGTCCCTTTGCTGCACAGTAACTGCATGAGACTCCAAGGTTGTGCATGGTTGGAGACTCCATCCGCTGTCTGACGCTGATCTCTGCTCTTAATGGCTGCTACTTCTGTGTCTGCAGGGCGACGCGTTCCCCGAGCTAAAGAAGGACCCGTATATGGTGAAGGATATTATCAATGAAGAGGAGGTTCAGTTCCTGAAAACGCTCAGTAGAGGGCGCCGCATCCTGGACAGGAAGATCCAGAGCTTGGGAAACAGTAAAACGATCCCTGGTAAGGTTTGTTTTCACTCCTTTCATGCTGAATGAGGCTTCCAGGGAATCCTCCTGCCCCGACACACCAGCTGTGTCCGGTGGAAATCTGCCGCTGAGTCATTCAGGGCTCAGCTGGGCTGCCTGTGAATTTAGCAGAGTGAAAGGTGTCAGATTGATGGTACTGGAGACTGAAGCCCTCTATCACAGCGGGGACAGCTGCAGAGTGAGCCCCCCCAGGCACCATCCTGCCATGGGCTCACCTGTGACCTACAAGATGATCCCGTCTCCATGGCCTATTCAGTCCTTGGGCTCTCTGATTCGGCTGCCAACAATTGGTTCCTGTTCTGGTGGGTGGCGACATCTTACTGTGGACAGCTGTCTGCTAGGGACTGGACTGAGATCCACCTACGGGTGTCCTGCAGGCTGTGACCCCAGCACTGTGACCGCTGACTGCCAGTGCCCATTAGCCAGGCATATCTCCAAGGTCCACTGCCGAGTCTCGTAGGCTTCCCCGTTAGCCGAGGAAGTGTCCCAGGCCCTTTGGGAGCTGGTTTGCTCCAGGTGGGAGGGTTCTGATGGAGGAGTAGTGGGAGACCTGACTGATCTGTTTCTCCTCTCAAGGGGACACTGCCTGGCTGTTATACGACACCTATGGTTTCCCCGTGGATCTCACTGGACTCATTGCTGAGGAGAAGGGCCTCACTGTGGACATGGAAGGCTTCGAGGAAGAGCGGAAGATGGCTCAGGTAAAGACCAGCCCCTCTGCGTTGACCCTACTACAAGGAGTAGGCGGGGGCACAGGTGTGGGAGGACTCCTTTGTTAGTGGTTTAAAGGGACAACGCTCTGCTCCTTTACAACAGGGCGTCTCCTAGGAGATCTGACTCTGAGCACCCTGGGCCATGTTGCTGGGTCCTGGGGCAGGCTGGGGCAAAGCACAAGAAGTCTGGCTGGAGGGCAGATCCTGAGGGCGCAGGCCTCATTTGCATGGAGAAACACTGGGCACCTCTGCCTCCTACCAGGGTGCCTAGCTCCTTGCCAGCTCTCATGGAGCTTTTTTCCCCACTGCCCTCTTGAAGGCTGAATTCCTTGAAGTAAACAGTGAGCAGGTTGCATGAGAATCAGCCCTGCTATCACAAACCTTCACGGGGGGCTGTGCAGATGTCGTGTGGCTTTCCTTCCTTCTTTCTCGTGATCTCAGCAATCAGGAGCACCACGTTGTCCACACAGACTCCAAACCTCCTCCTCTGTGTGGTTGTGGGAAACCTGCCTTTCATCTGCCCTGGCCTGTGTCCCCCCCGGGCTCTATCTGTCCCACGTCACAGGTTCTTCTGAAAATATGCCCTCTTGTGTTCATCCCATTGCTGCCTGAAGCAGACTCACTGATTAGATTTCTTTAGGCTGGGCTAAGACTTCTTCAACAGAGGAATAACAGTGGGTGTGTAGCCAACAGCAATCTCTGTGTAGATGGGTCTCTAGGTCAGGGTTCTCAAACTTTTACTTTCTGAGGCCGCCCAACATGCTCTTAAAAACTCCAGACCCAGCAGGAGGGGACGAGGCCTCAGGGCTTCTGCCCTGCAAGGTACTGTGGCTCGGGGCTTCTGCCTTGCAGGGCGCCGGGGTTTGGGGACCCCCTGAAACTAGCTTGTCGGCCCCCGGTTGTGAACCGCTGCTCTACATGGATCTGGGACTCATGCCACGTAATGCTGCATTTGTGGGACTGGGAAGACCCCTGGCAGAGCCTGTCTCTGCATGAAGGGGGGGGGGGAAGGGGAAACTTACTGCACCTCGGTTCTACAATGTCCAGTGCAAGAGTGCTCCATGCACCCTCATCCTGAGACTAGATCCAAGATGCCCTGGTTTTAATCTACCCTATAGTAATAGGCCTTATTTACAGGAGAGTTTCTAAGAGACTCTCTCCCCCTCCCCCGTTACGGTAGGATGGTGCAGCCTTGCTTGTGGGAGCACTGGTGTAGTCAGGCTTCAGGCCATGCTGTGTGATCTAGGCATGCTCTGAGTGCAGCTGAGCTATCTGATGGTTAGAACCCTAGCGCTCCGCCTAGACCTGTGGTCCCGTCATTGGAATCAGCATGGAAGCTGCACCAGGGCCAGAGAAACCGGGAGCCCCCCACCCCCAATCACTAGTGTAGACACAGCTCCTACAAATCCAGCTGTGTTCTTCATGCTACCCGCTGAGCACCTCCTAGGCGCTTCAGTAGCGCAGAGCGAGGCACTGTGGGTCCTGCACAGCCAGGGCAGGATTGGATTCACAGCTTGGCGGCTTTGCGTCGCAGCTGACTTGCAGTAGAGCGGGCACGGGATGAGCAGAACCCTCGCTAGCCCTTCCCTTTAGCAGTAGCTGAGTAGCGGTGCAGGGAGCGCCCCACAGTAGGTGGATGGGATTGCTACCAAAGTGCTGCCATGGCTGTCGTGCTGCCAGTCACCCTGCTTCAGAGCAGCCTTCACCTGGCGGCCTTCAGGGGGACAGAATGTGGATCCCTGCCATCCCACTGGATTCTTGCCTCCTCGGTTTCTTGGCAGACTCGCTGTGAATGAGGAAAGCTGTGAATATCGGTGTGTTTGATGCAGGTCTACAGCATAGACTAGACTTGGTCCAGGATGTCGGGTGTCCTTTCTGCCCCAGTCATGCCTCCAGCCCTGCATGTGTTGCTAAAGCCCAACCAGCTGATGCATAAGGATTGGATCCCTATGGCAGTACTAAGGGATCTTCTCCCTGCCCCTAACACTTCCACCTGTTGCCATTATCAGCTGAAGTCTCAGGGCAAGGGAGATGGGGCGGAAGACCTCATCATGCTGGACATCTATGCTATTGAAGAGCTCCGCACCCGGGGACTGGAGGTAACCGACGACTCGCCTAAATACAACTACACGTCGGATCCCAGTGGTGTCTACGGTATGTGACAAAGTGTCCTCCAAATGGTTCCCCTGCCCCTAGCCTCGCTTCGTGGGTCTTGCATGGGGTCAGGCCTGGAGGCTAGTCTGCGGACTCTGCCGCAGCTTGCAGCGAAGGCGCCTTTGTGTCTTCCTGCATCTCACGCCTGCCTGGTGATCGGCTGGCACCCTTTAGGGCTGAGGGAGGGGAGAGAACCATGCCAGGCTGACAGCTGCCAACAGAGGTAGGTGGAGGATAGTGCAAATCAGAGGGGCAAATCCACTGCCTGGCAGGAGAAGACACTGACCGTTTGGAGACAGGGAAACCTTTTAAAGGGAACCGATTTCTCTGGCTGCTCTAGGGACTGTCCAGCTCATACGCTCCCTGCCTGATCACTGGGACCCTCTAGTGGTTCCTTTTCACCCCAGCTTTGTATCTGGGCATCCCTGGATTCCCCGGTATCTTGGTCCATTACTGAGCCCTGGGCCTGCTCCCTGAGGATTCTGATTTATTTGGTGCCCTGGTCATGGATCAGTGCCCCATTGTGCTCTGTGCCGTATGGACACAACACAAAGGCAGCCCCTGCCCCACAGGGCTGACCACCCCAGCGATTTCCCCACCCCAGCTAAATGTCCCCCTGCAGGTTCCACTCAGTGTTCTTTCTTCACATCTTGTCTTAAACTGTTAAGCAAGCGCTCCAGCACTCCAGAGGTGGCTGCTGGACATGTGTGTCTATGGCTATGTGTAAATGGCTGGGATTGTCGTCTCACTGACCTTGCCTCTCCCACCGGCGACAGAGTTTGAGAGCCCAGTGGCCACTGTGCAAGCAATCCGCAGGGAGAAGAGGTTTGTGGAGGAAGTATCCACGGGCCAGGAGTGCGGCATAGTGCTGGACAAGAGCTGCTTCTACGCCGAGCAGGGCGGGCAGATCTATGACGAGGGCTACCTGGTCAAGGACAACGACAGCAGCGAGGATGTAAGTGGGACCAGGCACCTGTGTGCTGACGTACAAACAGAACCACTCCCTGAGTGCCATTCTCGGGAAAGAGGGGTGAAAAGACAGTGGGGCTGGGACAGGGAGGGAGAGGAAGGGTGGTGCGGTGGATACTGTTTTGGCCTGGGCTGTGGGAGACCCAGTTTCAATTCCTTGCTCAGCCACAGGGACCACAGACAATCACTTAGGCTCTGAGTTCCCCATCTGTACAATCATAGAAGGCTGGAAGGGATCTCAAGAGGTCATCTGCACAAGGGCAGGACCATTAAACCTAGACCAGCCCTGACAGGTGTTTGTCCAACCTGTTCTTCAAAACCTCCATGGGGATTCCACAACCAGCCTTGGACACCTGTTCCAGAGCTTAGCTACTCTTTGAGTTAGAATTTTTTCCTAATACTAGCATTGACCCCCCCACTTGGTAAGGCAACTCCCATCTTTTCATGTGCTGTGTATTTATACCTGTCTACTGTATTTTCCACTCCTTGCATCTGATGAAGTGGGTTTTAGCCCACGAAAGCTTATGCCCAAATAAATTTGTTAGTCTCTAAGGTGCCACGAGGACTCCTCGTTGTTTTTCCTAATACTGTATTGAACCTATATCTCCCTTGCTGCAGATTAAGCCCTGTATTTCTTGTTCTACCTCCAGGGAAGATGGAGCACAATTGATCACCATTCTCTTTGTACCAGCCTTTAACATAACTTGAAGTCTGTTATCAAGTCCTCCCTTCCCCTACCCCCAGCTTTCCTTTCTGCCCAGTTTCTTTAACCATTTCTCGTAGGTCAGGCTTTCTGAACCTTTGTTCACTTTCGTTGCTCCCCTCTGGACTCTCTCCAGTTTGTCCACGTCTTTCTTAAAGCGTGGTGCCCAGACGGGGACACAGTACTCCAGCTGGGGCCTCACCAGAGCTGAGCACAGGACAACTATTTCCCACGTTTTACATACCACAGTCTTGCTAATACACCCCAGAATGACATTTGCCTTTTTTGCGAGTGCATCATGTTGCTGATTCAGATTCAATTTGTGATCCACTAGAACCCCCCCAGATGCTTTCCAGCAGTATGGCTGCCTGGCCAGGTGTCCCCATTTTGTAGCTGTACATTTGATTTTTTTTTTTTCCCTGCCAAAGTGAAGTAGTTTGCACTATTGAATTTAATCCTGTCGATGCCAATGGGGAGACTAGCCCTGACCTGCCTCCCAGGGGTGTGTGCAGGTAAACGGTACAGATGATCGAGTGCTCACATGTGATGGAGGCCAAATCTGCAGGCTCCCCCTTTGGCTCTTTGTCCGTGATCCTGACCTGCCGAGCGGTAATGGCCGATTGTTCAGTGATTGGAATCGGGGCTTAACTGAGCTCTGCACTGCACTCCCCAGAGCCACCTTTCCTCCTTGGTCTTAATTTAATTTTCTAGTTCACTGTTTGTCCCCCACTCCCACTGCAACTGTCGGTCCCCAGAGAGAGCTGGCCGGCCCATGCTACCATGCTGCTCATGCTACCAGAGAGGCCTGTGTTCCTGGGACTTACTCTTCTGGGGGCTTTCCAGTTGCCATCCAGGATGCTGGGTGGAATAATAACAATTCCCCTGCTGTCTGTGCTCTCCCCCATCTGGTACAGAAAACGGAGTTCACGGTGAAGAACGTGCAGATCCGAGGGGGCTATGTGCTTCACATAGGAATGGTCTACGGGAGCCTGAAAGTGGGAGACCAAGTCCGTCTGTATATTGACGAGGTGAGTTAGAGTGATGCTACGGTGAGTGACACCATCTCTCTTTCCCGTGAGAGACTGGTGTCTCCTTTTCTTCCACCATTCTGAGGCCACTGCCTGCTCCCACCAGGGCATCCCAGCAGATGTCATTTAGTAGAGCTAAGGTTGAGCCACGAGTCCCCCAGGAGCTGGCGGCTGGAATTTGTGTTCTGCCCTAAAGGGTTAATGCGACGTGGGTTAGACTGGGGCACTAGTGAAATCCTGGCTAGGAAGGGATTGTCCAGCTGCCCTGGTCTCTGAGGTTTCAGTTACATAAGGACATAAGAACGGCCATACTGGGTCAGACCAAAGGTCTGTTTCCTGTCTTCTGACAGTGGCCAATGCCAGGTGCCCCGAGGGAATGAACAGAACAAATAACCATCAAGTGATCCATCCCCTGTCGCTCATTTCCAGCTTCTGGCAAACGAGGCTGGGACACCATCCCTGCCCATCCTGGCTAATAGCCATTGATGAACCTATCTCTCCATGAACTTATCTAGTTCTTTTTTGAAGAAATTTTTCTTTCTCTCGGGTATCTTCAATGTTGGTAGAAGATACTTGGTTGAACCCTAGCATGTAAAATCTTCTTCTCTCCTGTACATGGGCAGCCTGCCACTCCCTGTGCACTCCCCCCACTGTGCCTCGCCCCCTCCGCGGCCTCTCACCAAGCACTGCCAACCAGCGGGACAGTTGGGGAGATGGTCTCTGTGACAGGGGTCCTGGGAACTGGATTGAGACTGTTTTCCTTGATGCTGGTCCCAGAGCAGCCTCAAGACAGAAGCTGCTTTTGATCTCTCCATCCTGCATTGGCCCAGATTTCTCTTGAAGCAGAACTGATTTGTAGCTGTAACCTCCTGCTTCTCTGTCCCATGGATAGTCAGTTCTCACTGGGCTGGGCCAACGGTGTGTAAGCAGGAGGCATGTGGCAGCCCCTCCAACAGAGCCCTTTAATAATTGCTTTCCCTCTGCTCCCTGCAGCCAAGGCGGAGACCCATCATGAGCAACCACACTGCCACCCACATCCTCAACTTTGCCCTGCGCTCGGTGCTGGGGGACGCCGACCAGAGAGGGTCCCTGGTTGCCCCAGACAGGCTGCGATTTGACTTCACCGCCAGGGGAGCCATGTCCACCCAAGAGATCAAGAAAACCGAAGAGATTGCCAACCAAATGATAAAGGAAGCCAAGGTGTGCTCTGGGTCTGAGGAGAGGGTGCTTGCTGGAGGACTCTGATGGCGGGAGCCGCAGGCTCAGCTTGCCAGTGTGCCAGGTCCATTGAGTTAACCCTCCGCCTCACTCCCCGGTGGTGGTGGTGGTGATGCTACACGCACACTCCTTCTCTACCTCCTCAACCTGGGCCAAGTGGAGAATCAGGGCATTAATTTGCAGAAAAAATGGTGCTGATGTTGAGTGGGGCAGGCGGAAGGACACGTGCTGCCTTGACAGCCCAGTTCCTTATTGTCCCATCCTCTTGACAGTCAGCTGTGCAGTGTGAGCAAGTGTGGAATTGGCTGACCAGAGCAGATCAAGGATCCCCATTATCTCCTCACAGCAGATCACCCTGCATGGCTCTGCCCATGTTTCATGGGTAGAGGTTTCATCTCAGACATGACCTGAATATCTCCTGCTACGGGAGCTGGCTCTCTGTCTTCTAGCTGCATGCCCTTCATGTTAGATTGGGTCTGGAGGTGGCCAGTGTTGATCTGTAATGTGGCACAGTCCTGAACGGGATGCAATGGTACTGCAAAGCTGAGAGCGTGAGGATCATGTTCTCAGCAAGAGACGTTCCTCAAGTGTGTGTCAGTGTGCATCCCATCCTAGGGATACCTGCACCTCGTGTTTCAGAGCGGATTCTTTCTCATAGCACTGCTATTGAGTGAGAGCCACACTGAGTACAACATCTCAAAGAACCACAGTCACTGGAGGGTAAGGAGCTGCTCTTTGTTGGCCTCTTTGGTGTAAACTCAGATTTCCTGGTAAGATGTGGCCTTATTTTCACTGGAAAATAGAGGTTTAAACTGAACTCTGGGAGCCTCATCAATATTTCCCAGAATATAAATTGGCTGTTCTTTATTCACTGCACCTGTTGTCAGTGTACATGACATCTCTTTGGTGAGCTGGCCAGTAGAGTACTCATGGTCACTGTTCTCCAGGTTTGGAAAAGCACACAGGTGTCGCTGGATCATTGATGAGCCATTAGCCATAGGCTAATTTGGATGCTGAAATCTGTCTAAGCAGCGGTTAGCACAGAACGGGCGTTATGTCTCGGAGAAGGTGTGAGAGTTGAGGCTGCTCACCCAGAGACAAATGCAACTGTTGCATGTTGAAAGTGAGATGAAAAGTTCTGATGCTTTGGTTACAGCTGTTAACCTGTATCTGCATTTCTGTATGTGCTGGCAGTGCCCATCTGATCCCCCTTGCTTTGACCTCCCCAGACTGTGTATGCCAAGGATTGCCCTCTGGCAGCAGCAAAAGCTATCCAGGGCCTGCGGGCTGTGTTTGATGAGACCTACCCCGATCCCGTGCGTGTCGTCTCCATTGGCATCCCCGTGGAGGACATGCTGGCTGATCCCTCCAGCGCCGCTGGCTCCATCACTTCCATCGAGTTCTGTGGAGGGACGTGAGTATCTGAACAGAAAGAGGATGGGGAGGCAGTGATAGGATTTTTAGTCATCTCACCTTGTCTGTTCTTTCCAAAGACACCTGCAGAACTCAAGCCATGCTGGCCCTTTTGTGATTGCCTCTGAAGAAGCGATTGCTAAAGGCATCCGGAGGATAGTTGCAATCACTGGTGCTGAGGCGCTGAAGGTAAGTGGAGAGAGAAGGGGGATCATTGTGAAATCCAAGTATTGTGAGTAGCCTCCTGGAGCATGTGCGTGTGGCAATCTGATCGTGGACAAGAGATTTTCATCTGTATTAAAGATTAAGAGTCAGATCCTCCACTGGGTTTAAATGGTCCTTGCACCACTGACTCCACTGGGGTGATACCACTGAGCACTTGACCCCAGGTGCCTGCAGCATTTACAGCTTCTAACTTTAGCTTCAGAGCTGCAGGCCCGATGGGGGAAGTGAGTGATGCCCTTGCAGATCTAGGAGAACTGTGTGGGAGGTTCCCTGGCCAGGCCTCCAGCCAGAGGGTGGAGCTGAGGAGCCTTGCATGCAATACTGTTGCACACCCTCCAGCTGTGTCAGTCAGACTGGCAGTGCAACAGGAGTGATTACAGTGTCTGATTTCCTGCCAGGCCATGCCAAGCCAGGTTGGTGGGAGGAAGGATGGCAAAGAGTGGTGAAAGGGGTGAGAGAAATGGAGAAGAAATGCTTCCTGCTAACTTTGTAGTGGCTGCACTTCCATGCTTGGGCTGGTGTCTTATGGGACGATGCTTTCCCAGGGAAGTAGTTCAGCTCTTGGTACGATAGATCTGTAAGTGTTCTCTGCGCTTATTGAGCAAATGGCACAAAGAACACGGCCCTGGAGCAGAGCTGTGGAGACAGAGCTCTTGGGACAACCACTGTATTGTCAGCTGCAATTAATTATGTGAACAAAGACTAAACAGCACAAGAGTTCCAGTGCTGGGCAGTGTAAACTGGTCCCCAGCTGGTGTCAAGAGGGCGTTTTCTCCCAGGGTCAGTGAGGTGCATCTGTGTGGGGTTTAATGGCTTTCTCTGAAGCCTCTGACATAGGCCAGTACTAGGAGGGGAGTGGCAGGTACTGGGTGTGAGATTGGCTAATAGACAAGCACCACCTTCTTGAGCTCTGCTGCTGAGAGAGCTTCATTGTAGCTCCCTGTGGAAACATGTCTCTCTCGCGGGTTGTATTTCTGTCCTTTGTCGCATGGTGTTGGACACCCCAGTGCTCGGTAGCCCTCCAATGGAGCTAGGAACTGAATTCTGCTCTCTCAGGCACTCAGGAATGCGGACAGCCTCATGAAATCGCTCTCTGCCCTGGATGCCAAAGTGAAGGTCCAGACTGCTCCCAACAAGGACGTGCAGAAGGAGATTGCAGACCTCAGTGAGGTGGGTTGGGACCCCAGCCCCTCCAGGAGTGTTGCATCAGACTAGCAAGAGCAGAGAAGAGTGAGATGCCTTAGCCTGGGTTCTTAAATCAAAGCAAGTCACTTAGCAGTTGGGGCCCAAGGGTGCATGGGACCTGTGTCCAGTGCCTAAAGTGCTGCTTGGGAAACCCAGGTTCAATTCCCTGCTCTGCCAAGGTCCCTGGATCTCTGTGCCTCAGTCCCCACTATTCCAATAGCAGTAATAGCCCTGTCCTGCCTCACACGGGTGTTGAGGGGCTAAATCTGCTAGAGGTTGGGAGGCACTGGGACACTATGGTGATGGAGGCCACAGAAGTATCCTAGGTGGACCGTGCATTGCAGATTGAGCAAATGCCACCTCGTTCTCTGTCTCGTGTGACGTTGGGAAGGGAGTTTCTTGCTGGGTGCTCTGCTTGAGTGGCTTTTTGGGTTTAAAGCCAGTTCATTAGGGTGGGGAGCACAGAAACCTCGGCCTCCTGTTGTGATAGGCCTTGAGCCTGAACCCCCCTCTTCTGCTTCCAGACACTGGCTACCGCAGTTATCCCACAGTGGCGGAAGGATGAGCTGAGAGAGGCGCTCAGAGCACTGAAGAAGGTTATGGATGACTTGGACCGCACAAGCAAAGCAGACGTCCAGAAACGAGTGAGCCTATTAGCCCAGCTGGATAACGCTGGTGGGATGGGGGTTATGGTGGACATCCGTGTGGGCTCTGCTTCCTGCTCCCAACCCAAATAAATGTATGCCGCTCTCCTCCCTGTGGAAGGGGCCTGCGCTGCCTAAATGTGGGGGTCTAGCTGGCACCCACCTTTTCCAGTCAAGGTCTCTGTTTGTTTTTCCCCGTGCCTCTGCAGCTACCTCATGGGAGTGAGGTTGGACAGTCCTCTGTAACAGTAATAAATGTATTCAGCTGACCACCAGGGGTGCTGTTGGACAGAAAGGTGGGCAAGCCACCTCAGTTCCTGGAAAATGCTTCAGGGCCAGCCGAGGGCCTGATGTGGGGTATTTATGGGTTGCAGGTGAATGGACTGGTAGTTATTGCTTCTGACTCCATGTGGTAACTGGTGACTGCATTGGGGAGGCTGTGTACAGCACAACCTTCTCTTGGGTCACATACACAGATCGTCCTCTGCACATGCTCAAGGGTGGCATTGCACTCCTGGCTGGCCAGAGGTGAAAGTAAGCCGGTACGGTGTACCGGCAAGAGCCAGTACGCCGTGCCGAACCGCACTGGCTTCCGCGGCGGGGATTTAAAGGGCTCTGGCGGCTGGGCTGGGGCCGGGATTTAAAGGGCTCAGAGCTCCCCGCGGCTGCGGGCAGCCCAGAGCCCTTTAAATCCCTGCCCCAACCCGGCAAGGCTCGGGGTTCCCCGCAGTCACAGCCGGTGCCCCAGGGCCTTTAAATCTTGAGAGGCCCCGCCTCTTCTGGTTGAGACTATGCCCCTCAGGACTCCGGCAGTACCGGTAAGTCCTGTAAGTTACTTTCACCCCTGTGGCTGGCCCAGTGTTTGGGTCCGTGCAGGATTGGGGCAGAATGATCAGGGAGGGGGAGGTGGGGAGTTCCAGCTGGCAGAGGTTTGAAATCTTTCCCTGTCACTAGTGGACCTCCCGTGTCCAAGCGACACACACCTATTTACAGTCTGACTCTCCGCTTATTCTCGCAGGTGCTGGAGAAGACCAAGCAGCTCATTGACAGTCATCCTAACCAGCCACTGGTGGTCCTGGAATTGGAGAGTGGAGCTTCAGCAAAGGTAACCCAGCTCCCAGGGCAGAACAGCCTCTCCAGGCCCCCTCTATACACATGGAACCTAGCCTTTGAATTTGTGCTCTGGGCAGACGGACACTTCCGCGGCGTACTCATTACACAGCCTGTTTGAGAGCCTCCATCCGGGGGCACAGACTAGGGTGGGGAGTGGTGTGTGCTGCTGTTCACGTGCTGGGTCTCTGCACCCCTCCTTCTGGTTTAACTAAGCCCACCCTAAACATAACCAGAATGGTGAGGATCTCCGTTACTTGTCCTTCTAGCTCTCCTCTGCTTCCACATCCCAGCTTCCAGACTCTGGCTGTGGATGGGGATCCCTTCAAAAATCTCTCAATGACTTTCCTAAGTGACCCAAGTAAGGGGAGCCCAAGGAGGTAGCTAGAATAAGGGGAAATACAGGCTGGAAACATTTCTGAACAGGAAGATTTGCAGAGAAGCAGCGAAAGTTCTGTCACATGGGACATTGAAAACTAGCCAGGTGAGTACAGTGTGTCCTGTGCTGGCCCCCAGGCAGGGACTAGGTGGAGCCTAGGACAAGCACAAGGGAAGAGTGGAGTGTCATTCTCCAGCTCTGATTTCTTGGATTCTGTACCCTATCCAGCTGGTTTTGTTACAGGCGGGAGCAAGCTTGGTTCCCATCCCCCTCCATCTCAAGTAGCCACGAGCTGAATCCATTCTTTCGTCTTTGCGGCGTTTGTTTGGCTGTGCTGGTTGAGTGAGCTCGACCACTGACAAGCACCAGTCGTAAATGGACAGTCGTGGTAAACGAGGCTGCAGCCATCCGCTTTGAATGCCCCTGTTAAACTTCTCCATGGACAGCCTCCCAGCTCATCTCGTTCCAGCCATCCCTCCTGTCAGTTTCAGGGTAACTGCACCTGCTTTCCCCCTTCTGGTCCCTGGAGGCCACTTCCATCTCCCAGCCATCACCTCTCCTGGGCGGAGACCTGCATTGTACTCCCTCCTGACCAGGGGACCTTTAAGGCTGCACTCCTCCCTGCCTACACTGTGCTATTGCCAGCAAACCAGACTGCCTACAAGGCTGCACTTTGCCTTCTCTCCAGAGGATAGGCCCAGTGCATTGCCTGCAGTTACAAGTTAGCACGCAGCATTACGGAGAAATCCTATTTACAAAAACAAAAACCCATAGGCACTGGAGGTCACCCCAACTCCAGTCTCAGGCTCTAGTAGGTGTCAGTCCTTCGAACCCACAACTGGGTTTTCCCTGTAGTGACAAGTTCATAACTGTCTCTGACTCCAAACCAGAACCAGGCTGGCAGTTCAGAGGCCCGAGCTGTATAAAGAAATGGCTGATCTCCAGTCTCTGGGAACAGGTGATCAGCAGACAATGACCCATGCCTTAGATCCTAGCTTCCAAAGGCTGGGATTTTCCATAACTGGAGATGGAGGAAATTGTAGTAACCTGCCCTCGGGAGTCTGCAGGAAATCTACTGAAGACTTCTTGTCCCCAGAGTCCAGTGTTTGGCACATTTTCAATATAGTCCTTGGAGCTCCCAGGTCTCCCCACCGATCTTGAGAGCCGTACAATCCCGGCCCACAATAATACATCGAGTTAATAGCTTTCAAAGATATTGCCGGAAATTGCCCTATGTGTCACAGCTTCAGCCACCCACTTACACAGCCCTCGTCTCCATAGTATCTGCAGGCCTGTTGGCTTCTGTGGGGAAGTAGAACATTGTTCTAGATCTAGAATTCTCTTCTGGGGCCATTACTGCGATCTGCATAGCATCTCCCTTGCTATGTTCCATCACCAGAGTCCAGGACCTTTCTGCATTGCGCTGCTGGCATGTCCCTTGTGTAGTAATGTGCTGGGGGATGGCGCACACAGTGGGATTACAGACATCACATCCTGACAGTGCCCCCTGGGCTGGCAGCATCTAACAGTACAGCTGGAGTCGTGTGCATCAACTTATCCACACACACAGCCTGTCCTGGGAGTTCTGTAAATACACCAGATCTTTCTCTGAGTGAGGGAGCTCCATCTCCTTTGGAAAGACTTTGTGCCTGGTGCTCAGGGACTTGTTTCTTGCCAGTCCATGCAGCCTCTCTGCTCCCACCCTCCATGCAGCCCACTTCTGCTGACTAATCATAGAACTGTAGGACTGGAAGGGACCTCGAGAGGTCATCTAGTCCAGTTCCCTGCTCTCATGGCAGGACTAAGTATTATCTAGACCATCCCTGACAGGTGTTTGTCCAACCTGCTCTTAAAAATCTCCAATGATGGAGATTCCACAGCCTCCCTATGCAATTTATTTCAGTGCTTAGCCATCTTGACAGGACGTTTTTCCTAATGTCCAACCTAAACCTCCCTTGTTGCAATTTAAGCCCATTGCTTCTTGTCCTATCCTCAGAGCTTAAGGAGAACAATTTTTCTCCCTTTTCTTTGTAACAACCTTTTATGTCCTTGAAAACTGTTACCAGGTCCCCTCTTTTCTTCCCTTCTCCAGTCTAAACAAACCCAATTTTTTCAATCTTCCCTCATAGCTGGTTTCTAGACCTTTAATCATTTTTGTTGCTCGTCTCTGGACTTTCTCCAGTTTGTCCACTTCTTTCATGAAATGTGGTGCCCAGAACTGGACACAATACTCCAGCTGAGGCCTAATCAACACAGAGTAGAGCAGAAGAATTACTTCTTGTGTTTTGCTTACAACACTCCTGCTGATATATCCCAGAACGGTTGCTTTTTTTGCAACAGTGTTACACTGTTGACTCATTTAGATTATGGTCCACTCTGACCCCCAGATCCCTTTCTGCAGTGCTCCTTCCTAGGCAGTCATTGCCCATTTTGCATGTGTGCAGCTGATTGTTCCTTCCTAAGTGGAGCACTTTGCAGTTGTCCTTGAATTTCAGGCCATTTCTCCAGTTTGTCCAGATCATTTTGAATTTTAATCCTATCCTCCAAAGCACTTGCAGCCCCTCCCAGCTTGGTATCGTCCACAAACTTTAGAAGTTAGCTCTTTCTGCCATTCTCTAAATCATTGATGAAGATATTGAACAGGACTGGACCAAGAACTGATCCCTGTGGGACCCCACCCGTTATGCCCTTCCAGCTTGACTGTGAACCACCGATAACTACTCTCTGGGAATGGTTTTCCAACCAGTTATGCACCCACCTTACAGTAGCTCCATCCAGGTTGTATTTCCTTAGTTTGTGAGACAGTATCAAAAGCCTTACTTAAGTCAAGATATACCACATGTACCACTTCCCTCTATCCACAAGGCTTGTTACCCTGTCAAAGAGCTATCAGGTTGGTTTGACACGATTTGTTCCTGACAAATCCATGCTGTTACTTACCACCTTACTATCGTCTAGGTGTTTAAAACGATTGCTTAGTTATTTGCTCCATTATCTTTCCAAGTACAGAAGTTAAGCTGAGTGGTCTGTAATTCCTCAGGTTTTCCTTAGTCACCTTTTTATAGCTTGGCACTATATTTGCCCTTTTCAGTCCTCTGGAATCTCTCCCATCTTCCCTGACTTTTCAAAGATAACCACTAATGGCTCAGACATCTCCTCAGTCAGCTCCTTGAGTATTCTAGGTATCACTTTTCAGGTCCTGCAGGCCTGAGTGCTGCAGAGGTGCTGCTTGCTGCTTCGAGGCAAAATGCATGAGGAAGATCTTGATCCAGTATCTCGGCCTGGTAATGGCTTGTGTCAAGTTATCTTCAGGGCCACTGGGGACTGTCCTGGCTGGGGCTGCAGAGTAATCTGTGTGGGAGCCTGCAATGTGCGGTGTGTTCTGAGGCCAGGTGGAAGGTATGCTGGGATGGACTGGTTCTTGCCATGACTCTCTGTATATATGTGTCACTCCACAGGCCCTGAATGAATCTCTGAAGCTATTCAAGGCTTATTCCCCTCAGACTGCGGCCATGCTCTTCTCAGTGGATAACGAAGCTGGAAAGATCACCTGCTTATGCCAAGTACCTCAGGTAGTACCGTGTGTGTGGGCGCATCCATGTGCCCAACCCTGCAGCCATTCAAATGGAGGGTTAGAGCACTCACCACCAGCTGGGGGCCACTACAGGATTCCTGCATCCCTCATGCACAGGGGTGTCCACCATGTTTTAAAAAAAAAAAAAATCTGAGAAGATATACCTATCTCATAGAACTGGAAGGGACCCTGCCTTCACTAGCAGGACCAAGTGCTGATTTTGCCCCAGATCCCTAAGTGGCCCCCTCAAGGATTGTACTCACAACCCTGGGTTTAGCAGGCCAATGCTCAAACCACTGAGCTATCCCTCCCCCCAGTGGTTCCCAAACTGTGGGGGGCACAGAGGAAGGTTTGGCGGGGCCAGGGCTAGCCCCCATGGGGAGTGGGGAGGGACCCAGCCCCGCCCCACCCCCAGCACCGGTTCCTGGCCCCGCTCCCAGTTGTGACCCCAGCCTTAGCCCCCTTCCCCCGGGAGCCGCGGCCCCGCTCCTGACCCCGGCTCTGGGGTGAGTGGGGCAGACAGGGGTAAGAGGTGGTGCAACCCTGAATAGCTTTTGGGGACCACTGTTGTAAGACAAGAGATCAAAAAATAGGAATGGACACCAACCCTTGAATTAGGATCCCATCAAATGGGCAGCTGCCACTGAGGAGAGAGGCTCTAGAGTACTACCTGGTGGGTTTTTTTAATTCCCGTCCTCTTGCTCTGACTGCGCCCTTCAGCCTCGCACTGGCATCCAATGGCATATTCCAGTTTTTTGTTCTGTTACTGGTGCAAGAGCCTTACTACCAAGAGCAAACCAAGAGTCTGAGCTTCCTGAGGTGACACGAGCTGTAGATGCTGGAGCCAGGCTTGGGCGTTGCAGAGTGGCAGGTGCGAACTCTGTGCAGCAGATATTCCATGAGTGAGAGCTCCCTGCGGCTCCAGTGAGGAACGTGTCTACCGGCTGCTTTGCTTGGCACTTTAATTCTGTGCCAGTTGTCCCTAGATCTGCCTGGGCGGGAACCGGGTCAGGCACAAGGTGCGGAAGGGATGCCATACTGAAGAATAACTTGAGTAACCCAGTCCAATTTAAGGACAAACCTCCTGGGTAGTTTCAGGGATATACAATGGGGGTTATTCAGAAACAGCTCTTCTGGAATAACACCACATGCAGACACTCTTCATCTGGAATAAGAGGGCCTTGTTGCTAGTGTAGTCTAACCCACTTTGAAAGCTGTTCCTGAAAACCTCTGTGTAGACAAGCCTTCAGAGTGAAATCTCTCTGGATCAGGCTCATGGACATTCATTAGATGAATTCCACTCACCTCTCTTCTGTTCCCTCTTTCCCATGACACACTCTTTCCCCCTCCCCCGCCCCCCATTGTTCAGTTGGCTCTCACTTCCCTATCACTGAGGGTATGTCTACACTACGAGAGTAGTTCGATTTTACTTAAAGCGAATTTGTGGAACCGATATTACAAAGTCGAACGTGTGTATCCACACTAAGGACAGTAATTCCACTTTGTGAGTCCACACTAACGGGGCAAGCGTCGACATTGGAAGCGGTGCACTGTCGGCAGCTATCCCACAGTTCCCGCAGTCCCCGCTGCCCATTGGAATTCTGGGCTGAGCCCCCAATGCCTGCTGGGGCAAAATATGTGTCGAGGGTGGTTTTGGGTAACTGTTGTCATTCAACCGTCACTCCCGCCCTCTCTCCATGAAAGCGCCGGCGGGCAATCAGTTCGCGCACTTTTCTGGTGATTGACCGCGCGGACGCCACAGCACTGCGAGCATGGAGCCTGCTGCGATCATCGCTGCAGTTATGGCCGTTGTCAACACCTTGCACCTTATCATCCACCTTTTTCAGAGGCAGATGCTGAGAAATCGGGCGAGGAGGCTACGGCAGCGCGGTGAGGACATTAAGTCTGAGAGGGGCACAGACCTCTCACAAAGCACGGGACCCCGCGCCGTGGACATCATGGTGGCAATGGGTCATGTTGATGCTGTGGAACAGCGATTCTGGGCCCGGGAAACAAGCACGGACTGGTGGGACTGCATAGTGCTGCAGGTCTGGGATGAATCACAGTGGCTGCGAAACTTTCGGATGCGTAAGGGAACTTCCCTGGAACTTTGTGAGTTGCTGTCCCCTGCCCTGAAGCGCAAGGACACCCGGATGCGAGCAGCCCTGACTGTCCAGAAGTGAGTGGCCATAGCCCTCTGGAAGCTTGCAACGCCAGACAGCTACCGGTCAGTCGCGAACCACTTTGGCGTGGGCAAATCTACCGTGGGGGTTGTTGTGATGCAAGTAGCCAACGCAATCGTTGAGCTACTGCTCTCAAAGGTAGTGACCCTCGGAAACGTGCAGGTGATCATAGATGGCTTCGCTGCGATGGGATTCCCAAACTGCAGTGGGGCTATAGATGGAACTCACATCCCTATCCTGGGACCGGCCCACCAGGCCAGCCAGTACATTAACCGAAAGGGCTACTTTTCAATGGTGCTGCAAGCACTGGTGGACCATAGGGGACGTTTTACCAACATCAACGTCGGATGGCCGGGCAAGGTTCATGATGCTCAATGATTTTTTTGCCTCTGTCTTCACGAACAAGGTCAGCTCCCAGACTACTGCACTGAGCAGCACAGTATGGGGAGAAGGTGACCAGCCCTCTGTGGAGAAAGAAGTGGTTCGGGACTATTTAGAAAAACTGGACGTGCACAAGTCCATGGGGCCGGATGCGCTGCATCAGAGGGTGCTAAAGGAGTTGGCGGATGAGATTGCAGAGCCATTAGCCATTATGTTTGAAAACTCATGGCAATCGGGGGAGGTCCCGGATGACTGGAAAAAGGCTAATGTAGTGCCCATCTTCAAAAAAGGGAAGAAGGAGAATCCGGGGAACTACAGGCCAGTCAGCCTCACCTCAGTCCCTGGAAAAATCATGGAGCAGGTCCTCAAGGAATAAATTATGAAACACTTAGAGGAGAGGAAAGTGATCAGGAACAGTCAGCATGGATTCACCAAGGGCAAGTCATGCCTGACTAACCTAATTGCCTTCTATGATGAGATAACTGGCTCTGTGGATGAGGGGAAAGCAGTGGATGTGTTATTCCTTAACTTTAGCAAAGCTTTTGATACGATCTCCCACAGTATTCTTGCTGCCAAGTTAAAGAAGTATGGGCTGGATGAATGGACTGTAAGGTGGATAGAAAGCTGGCTAGATCGTCGGGCTCAACGGGTAGTGATCAATGGCTCCATGTCTAGTTGGCAGCCAGTTTCAAGCGGAGTGCCCCAAGGGTCGGTCCTGGGGCCGGTTTTGTTTAATATCTTTATTAATGATCTGGAGGATGGTGTGGACTGCACTCTCAGCAAGTTTGCAGATGACACTAAACTGGAAGGCGTGGTAGATACACTAGAGGGTAGGGATCGGATACAGAGGGACCCAGACAAATTAGAGGATTGGGCCAAAAAAAACGTGATGAGGTTCAACAAGGACAAGTGCAGAGTCCTGCACTTAGGACGGAAGAATCCCATGCACTGCTACAGACTAGGGACCGAATGGCTGGGTAGCAGTTCTGCAGAAAAGGACCTAGGGGTCACAGTGGACGAGAAGCTGGATATGAGTCAACAGTGTGCTCTTGTTGCCAAGAAGGCTAACGGCATTTTGGGCTGTATAAGTAGGGGCATTGCCAGCAGATCGAGGAACGTGATCGTTCCCCTTTATTCGACATTGGTGAGGCCTCATCTGGAATACTGTGTCCAGTTTTGGGCTCCACACTACAAGAAGGATGTGGAAAAATTGGAAAGAGTCCAGCGGAGGGCAACAAAAATGATTAGGGGTCTGGAGCACATGACTTATGAGGAGAGGCTGAGGGAACTGGGATTGTTTAGTCTCCAGAAGAGAAGAATGAGGGGGGATTTGATAGCTGCTTTCAACTACCTGAGGGGGGGTTCCAAAGAGGATGGAGCTCGGCTGTTCTCAGTGGTGGCAGATGACAGAACAAGGAGTAATGGTCTCAAGTTGCAGTGGGGGAGGTTTAGGTTGGATATTAGGAAAAACTATTTTACTAGGAGGGTGGTGAAGCACTGGAATGCGTTACCTAGGGAGGTGGTGGAGTCTCCTTCTTTGGAGGTTTTTAAGGCCCGGCTTGACAAAGCCCTGGCTGGGATGATTTAGTTGGGAATTGGTCCTGCTTTGAGCAGGGGGTTGGACTAGATGACCTCCTGAGGTCCCTTCCAACCCTGATATTCTATGATTCTATGCTCGCGTTTTCAGGAACTCTGGTCTGTTTAGACGGCTGCAGGAAGGTATTTACTTCCCGGACCACAAAATAACTGTTGGGGATGTGGAGATGCCTATAGTGATCCTCGGGGACCCAGTCTACCCGCTAATGCCCTGGCTCATGAAGCCCTATACAGGCGCCTTGGACAGTGAAAAAGAACTCTTCAACTACCGGCTGAGCAAGTGGAGAACGGTGGTGGAGTGTGCTTTTGGATGTCTGAAGGGGAGATGGAGAAGCTTACTGACTCGCTCTGATCTCAGCGAAACCAATATCCCCATTGTCATTGCAGCTTGCTGTGTGCTCCACAATCTCTGTGAGAGCAAGGGGGAGACCTTTATGGCGGGGTGGGAGGTTGAGGCAAATTGCCTGGCTGCTGATTACGCCCAGCCAGACAGCTGGGCGATCAGAAGAGCACAGCGGGACGCGCTGTGCATCCGGGAAGCTTTGAAAGCTAGGTTCCAGAGTGAGCAGGGTAACCTGTGACTATTAAGTTTGTTTATTCAGAAGCTGAACCTGCCCCGTTTTCTTTATTAAGGATTTCGCGGTAAAGTATTGAAACTGGGACACAGACTGTGGTGGGGAGCGGGTGTAGTGATGGAAAGGACGCTTCTAAACTCGAGGAATGACAGGCTTCTGCTCCTAGAGCGGTCCGCAGTGGTGGACTGGTTGTTTCAACGGAGCCTGCCACCCCTCCTTTTCGGGACTCTGTGTGTGGGGGCTATGTGACTTTGTGGAGGGGGAGGGCGGTTACAGATCTCCTGCTGCGTGGCTCTGTCATCCAGGCTAAGGCCCGCTGCATAAGATCTGTAACCGCCCTCCCCCGCCACAAACTCACATAGCCCCCCCACACACACAGAACATGAAAACCACCTCCCAGACTGACCAGGGTGCCTAGTGACTGCAATGTGTGTGTGTGTGTGTGTGTGACCTTCTGCTGAACCTGCCCCCGTGTCTGTACCCTGGTAAAGGTGACTGTCCTCTCCAATTACCAACCCCCTTCCCCCCCTTCAAACACACTCTCCTCTAAAAGAACATGACAGAAACAGTAATTAACAAACGTATTTTTTATTAACAACTACACAGTTAAGGGATGAAACTGGGACGGGGGCTTGGGTGAGGTGCTTTTGGAGTGAAGGAAAGGACTTATCAAATCTTTGGGAATGAGAGCCTTCTGTTACTTGAGCAGTCTGCAGGGGTGGAGTGACTGTTTTCACGGCCCCTGCCGCCCCTCCTTCTTGGGACTTTGGGTGAGGGGGGGATGGGACTTTGTGGCGGGGCAGGGCGGTTAGAGAGAGAATGCAGCGGGGCTCTGTCCTGCCTCCGGTCCTGCAGAACATCTACAAGGCGCCGGAGCGTGTCCGTTTGCTCCCTCATTAGTCCAAGCAGCGTTTGAGTCGCCTGCTGGTCTTCCTGCCGCCACCTGTCCTCCTGTTCACTGTGTGATCGCTGGTATTGCGACATGTTCTCCCTCCACTGGGTCTGCTGTGCCGCCTCGGCTCGGGAGCAGCCCATAAGTTCTGAGAACATCTCGTCCCGTGTCCTTCTCTTTCGTCGTCTGATCTGCGCCAGCCTCTGGGAGGGGGATGCCGGGGTAGCTCGGGAGACACTCGCAGCTGTGGGATGGGAAAAAGGGAGTGAATTCCTCAGAAAGATACAGTTTTGTGAACAATGAATATAGTCTTTCTCTGTGAACAAGACCATGCACAGCACCTATCACATGCGCACTCAGTACAAGGTCGAATTTTCGGCCTTCCCATTGAGTGCCTGGGGTCTTGCTGTACAGATCACACAAGCGGGGCCGGACAACGGAATTCGGCTAGCAGGCGGACATGGTAAGCTGTAGACTTTTGGCTGCTTAAAGCTTAATTTATAGCAGTGCCCTCCTTTCACGTTCCAAGCAATGCTCCTAGCGTTGGCCAGTTCCTGCTGCTGGCAATCCGGCCAGCATGAACTCTGCCCCTGTCCCACCCCCCTCGCGGCTATCCCCGGGAAAGATCACTGAATGCTGCCCCTGTCACGCCTCCACCGCGTGGCTGTAAACGGCCATTTACAGTTATGTAAAGGAACAGGCAATCAGTCCCAATACTAACAGTCCCCTAATTCACAGCAGGTCACCATGAGTGATATCACTCTGATGAGGATTTCGGAGACAGAGAAAGAGCGCATGCTGCGTGAATGCCAGCAAGCACCAGGGCCGTATGCCGCCATGCTTTGTGAGGCAATGATCCCGGAGTACTTGCTGCTAGCCTGGCGTGGAAAAGTTTCCTACCATGGAGGACACGATAAGGCCGCTCTCCCCAGGAACCTGCTGCAAAGGCTTTCACAATACCTCCAGGAGACCTTCGTGGAGATGTCCCAGGAGGATTACTGCTCTATCCCCGTACATATAGACAGAATTTTCCAGTAGCTGCACTGGCAAGGACAAAAAACTAAAGCGCCTAGGGCAAACTAATCATGAAAAACCCATTGTTAAGATACCATTACTATTCTGTTCAAAATAAATGTTTAAAACACTTACCTACTGATGTTTCCCCTGAATCACGGTCCGGGTTACGGCCTTGGGAGGGTTGGTAGGGGATCTCTGTGAGGGTGATGATGAGATCCTGGCTGTTTGGGAAATCAGCGTTGAAAGCGCTGTCAACTGCCTCGTCGTCCTGATCTCCTTCCTCATCTTCCCAGTCCGCGAACATCTCCGAGGAAGCGGCCGTCGACAATACCCCATCGTCGGAGTCCACGGGTAGTGGTGGCGGCCGCACCTAGAATGGAATGCAGTGCCTCGTAGAAACGGCGTGTCTGGGGCTGGGATCCGGAGTGTCCGTTTGACTCTTTGGTCTTCTCAGCTCCTTGATTTTCACGCGGCACTGCGTTGCATCCCGGCTGTATCCTCTCTCCGTCATGGCTTTGGAGATCTTCTCGTAGATCTTTGCATTCCGTTTTTTCGATCGCAGCTCCGAAAGCACGGACTCATCGCCCCACACAGCGATCAGATCCAAGACTTCCCGATCAGTCCATGCTGGGGCCCTCTTTCTATTCAGCGATTGCATGGTCACCTCTGCTGGAGAGCTCTGCATCGTTGCCAGTGCTGCTGAGCTCGCCACGATGTCCAAATAGGAAACTGGCCAGACAGGAAAAGGAATTCAAATTTTCCCGGGGCTTTTCCTGTGTGGCTGGTCAGAGCATCCGAGCTCGGACTGCTGTCCAGATCGCCAACAGAGTGGTGCACTGTGGGATAGCTCCCGGAGCTATTAGCGTCAAATTACATCCACACTAACCCTAATTCGACATGGCCATGTCGAATTTAGCGCTACTCCCCTCGTCGGGGAGGAGTACAGAAATCGATTTAAAGAGACCTCTATGTCGAAATAAATAGCTTCGTTGTGTGGATGGGTGCAGGGTTAATTTGAGTTAACGCTGCTAAATTCGACATAACCTCCTAGTGTAGACCAGGTCTGATATTATCCTGTATATATTGGGGCCCAGTGTCTCCCTCTGCCCTTTCACCCTGGATGCTGTATTTATAGACCATGTGAAGTACTAGGCTTCTTGTCCCTGTGACGAAGTGGGACTGTTCTTAATGTTTCCTCTGAATACTGTGTGAGTGCCTCAGTTTCCCCTATGCATTTCTTAAGTCTCTAGGTGGTGGGATAAAGGCCAGTGTGCATAAATCACTGACATTCTGTCTCCCTGGCAACAAATGGCCAGGGCCCTTTTCCCCCCCCCGCAAGGAAATAGCTAAAGGTGAATAAAGAGATCAGGTGACCTCCTGGCCCGGGAAAGAGACAAAGCCCAGAGAAGGAGGGGCTGGAGGGGGTTTTCAGTTTGGAGCTGGCTGGGGACTAGGAGTGAGGGCAGACGGGGGTGTCTGGCTCGCGGGACCCCAGAATGGACCCGGCCGAGGGGTCCGGTTCGCTGTACCTACAAGCTCTCTTTTAGACCGTGTTCCTGTCATCTAATAAACCTCTGTTTTACTGGCTGGCTAAGAGTCACGTCTGACTGCGAAGTGGGGATGCAGGACCCTCTGGCTTCCCCAGGACCCCGCCTGGGCGGACTTGTTGTGGGAAGCGCACAGAGGGGCATATGCTGAATGCTCCCAGGAGAGACCCAGGAGGTGAAGCCGTGTGAGCTTCTTGCCCTGAAGACAGTCTGCTCCATGGGAGAGGAGGCTCCCCAAAGTCCTGACTGGCTTTGTGGGGAGCAGTTCCAGAGCATCGCCCGGGGACTCCGTGACATTCCCCCAACCCCTCTTTTCTCTCCCCGGGATGCCTGTAATGTAAACCAGTGGTTCTCAACCAGGGGTACGCAGAGGTCTTCCAGGGATACAGCAACTCATCTGGATATTTGCCTAGTTTTACAGCAGGTGACATAAAAAGCACTAGTGAAGTCAGTACAAACTAAAATTCTTCTTTGAGTAGTGTCCCTGTAGGTGCTCCACTTTAGGTGTCGGTGAGTCCTTGCGCCGCAGGTCGGAGATTTTAGGTAGCAGTGCTCGGGTCGTGTGTGCGCAGTAGTCTTGCTGTGACGTTGGCGCCTCCCTCTCAACCATCCTCAGCTGCAGACAGAGCTCAGTGGCAGTGCTGCCTCTTCATTTTTCTCCTTCTAGAAATAAATTTAGTTTTAGATTGTAGTTATATAGTTCTTAGATACATAGACTCTTAATTAGTCAGTTATTCAAAAAAAAATTTCTTGGGGGGGACCTATATCCCCCAGAAATGTGCTCATTGTAGCAACCTAAAGGGTAGGGCAAGGCATGACCAAGGTCTCCGCCTCAAGATGATTTTGATGGAAAAATGTCTTCAGCCTCCTCAGGAAACCAAATCCACATCAGCAGAGAGCTCTCTGAGCAAAACCTCTAATAACAGGAGTGCTCAGTCTTCCAAACCATCTAGGAAATGAGCTGCGACAGGAAAAGGAACACTCAGGAAAAGAAGAGGTCCCCAGTGAGATCGGTATCCTCGGTGCCGAGCTCATCTAAAGCGAGAACCTTTGAGGCTCCGGAGCATTGTCCCCTTGTGGACCTCTGCTGAGCCCCACTGCACCGACATGGAATCGAGACGTCATGCCTCCTCCACAGCACTGACCATTCCAATGCAGAACTCAGCACCGAGACCAGTTCCTCTGGCAATGCTGCCACCATCGGCATCAACTCATTCGTCAGCACCGGCAGACAGATCGAGAATGGCGCTGACCGTCTCGACAAAGGTGGACCACAATAATGGCACGACACCGACCACATCTGCACCACCGCAGTTTCTGCATCAGAAAGACATAGCGGTCTCATCGGTACCGCAGTCACTGCTGCTCGTCCCCGAGCAATCACCGGGCCAACGAACGGAGCAGCTCCTCACATCGCCTGCCTCAGTCTCTCTACAGTGATGAAGAGGGAGGATGCAGATGGTAGCCAGTTCTCCTCATAGCATTCTTCGCCTACAGAGAGACTACCTCCATGGGAAGCTGCCAGAACCAATCCCTGCCAATCTCATGAGATGCAACAATGGTATGGGCAACCCTGATTCTGCCCACCACCACCTTTCCCTATGCAGTGGCCTCCCTGGGACCCCTGGGTGGCATATAGAGCCCACTATAGTAGATCCTCTACCCCAGCCCGACAGGAAATTCATTCTCCTCCACCTTCCCTGAGCAAGGAAACATCGGAGGCACCTGAAGGGGTGGCAGAAGAAGAGGAAGAAATTTCAGAACAGGAACAGAAAGGCATTTCACCAGCTCATAACTCATCTTCCTCACCTGATGAGGCTGTCATACCACCGCCTCCAAGTACAACAGATGACCTGAAACAGTTTCAGGACCTCTTCAAAAGAGTAGAGGCCAGCCAGGACATTCTGCTTGAGAAGGTGCAAGAGAACCAGCACAAGCTGCTACAAATATTGCAGACATCTACTTCATCAAAAATTGCACTTCCTATCAATGATGCCATCATAGAGCTGGCAGAGAATATATGGCAGATCCCTGCAACTGTACCGCCTATCAGTAAAAGGGCTGACAAAGTACTTTGTACCAGCAAAAGGGATGGACTTTCTTTTCTCCCACCTACAACCCAACTCCCTGGTGGTTGAAGCTGCCAACCATCGCAGCAAACAACCTCAATTCCGCTCCACCCCCCAGGATAAGGAGCACAAAAGATTAGACCTTTTCGGTCATCAAGTGTAATCGTCATCCACACTCCAATTCAGGGTTGCCACTTACTCAGCCCTCCTGGCAAAATACAACTTTGATAACTATAGCAAGCTGTGAGGCTTTCTAGAGGCCCTTCCAGAGGACAAACGTCCCCAGTTCACTGCCATCATGAACAAGGGAGAGAGAATTGCCTATACAACTCTACAAGCCTCAATGGATGTAGCAGACACTGCTGCACGAACAACGGCCATAGCTGTCGTAATATGTAAAGCATCTTAGTTAGTCAACAGGGATCCCAAAAGAGCTCCAATTGAAGGTGGAGGACTTTCCGTTTGACCAGGAAAAGCTCTTCTGCACATAAACTGATGAGGTCTTACACACGATGAAAGGTTCTCGGGCCACCCTGTGCACATTAGGCATATACACTCCGCCTACTAAGCGACGCTGGTATACACCATACCAGAAAGGTAGAGACACATCTTTCCAACACCCACAACAACAGCAATTTGATCACAACAGAAACAAACAACGTCCACAAAGACGTAGGGCTCCACAAAACCAGTCCTCATCTTCTCAACCATCTGCAACCGAGCCACAGTTTTGAAGTCTTGGTTGAGGGTCTGAACGACCTCCCCTACAGTACAGTGCTGCTAGACACTCCTACCCCAACTTTTGGCCACCGCCTGCGCCCATTTTACTATGCTTGGGCAGCAATAACAACGAACCAATGGGTACTGGAGATCATAAGATCGGGTTATGCCATTCCTGTCCCTCTTCAGGGACCCTTCTTACAAGCACTTTTTACAACAGGAAGTGAACCATCTCCTACAATTTGGTGCCGTGGTGGAGCAAGTTCCAAATCAATACAAAGGGAAGGGTTTTTACTCCCATTATTTTTTTTCACCAAAAAGAAAATCAGTGGATGGAGACCCATCTTAGACCTTCAGAAACTCAAAAAATTTGTGCGCAGTCACAGATTCAAGATGGTCACACTGGCCACAGTTATCCCTATACTAGACAGGGGGGACTGGTTTTCAGCCCTCTATCTCCAAGATGCCTATTTCCATATTACCATACACCCGGCTCACAGATGATTCTTAAGATTCTCTGTAGGGTCCAACGACTACCAATACCGAGTACTACCCTTTGGTACCCTTTCCACTGCCCCTTGATTTTTTTTCCAAAAACCTTTGTGGTAGTGACGCGGCCCACTTACAAAGGAGAGGAATTATGATCTTCCTGTACCTAGACTATTTCCTACTGAAAGGTACCACTTGGGAAGAAGCAACACACATGGTACAGACAGCCATCGAACTGTTCCACACACTAAGGTTGCAGATAAATATACAGAAATCTACTCTGAACCTGACACAACTACTGGAATTCATCAGGGCCTACCACGATTCCACACAGGCCAGAGCAATGCTGCCCAACCACAGGTTCATAAATTTAACTAATCTCATATTGACAGTCACCAGCAGCCCACAAACGTTCGTGAGGACTTGCCTACAACTACTAGGTCATATGGCGGCCACGACGTTCGTCGTGCACCATGCGAGACGACGTATGCCTACAGGGCTGTCTGAGCACTGTGTACAAGCCCAGCAAACACTCTCTAAACAAGAAAGTGACACTACCCTCAAAGGTCATTGCGTCAGTACACTGGTGGACGAAACCAGAAAACATCTGCACAGGGATCCCTTTCCAACAGGACCCTCCATCACTAATAATCCTGACCGACGCGTCCCTGGTAGGATGTGGTGCTTACTTAGACCAACACGCCATACAAGGCAAGTGGTCAGCAGCGGAAACTCAACTCCACATCAATCTCCTGGAGCTCCAAGCAGTATACAATGCGTGTCGACACTTTCTCCCGATCATACAGAACAAATCAATCCGCATACTGACCGACGACATAACATGCATGTTCTATATCAATCGACAAAGAGGAGCTCGCTCCCATTCTCTCTGCACAGAAGCCCTGAAATTGTGGAACTAGTGCATTCGCCACAACATAACCACTGTGGCATCACCTTCCGGGGTGTCAGAACACAACAGCGGACAGGTTAAGCAGACACTTCTCCGAGGAACACGAATGGGAAATACATGACTGTCCTTAAACTGGCTATCCATCCATAGACCTGTTTGCATCAGCAGCAAAGCACAAGTGCCCACTCTTCTGCTCCAGAGGGGGACTAGTACCCAAGTCACTAGGGAACGCCTTTCTCATATGGTGGAACACATCACTCCTGTATGCATTCCTACAATACCTCTAATCCCACGAGTTATTCACAAGGTACAGGCCGACAGAGCGCACACATTCTGATTGTTCCCACTTGGCCCAGACAGACTTGGTTCCCTTACCTGTCGCACCTAACAGTGTGTGCTTCTTGACCTCTTCCATTGTGGATGGATCGCCTCTCACAGAATGGAGGCTGGACTCTCCATCCGAATCCGGCGAAACTCCACCTCAAAGCATGGCTCCTACATGGTTCCAACACAGCCAATCTTTCTTTCACTCTGTTCAGAAAGAGTGAAACAGCTGTTGTTAAATAGCAGGAGATTTAGCACTTGACATACCTACCTCTACAAATGGAAGAGATTCTCACTATGGTGCCAACAAAAACTAACTGCAGTCACGGCGCCTCTACTGATCATATTAGATTACATATTAGAACTCAAAAGAATCGGGCTTAGCCATAAGCTCTGTCAAAGTACACCTAGCAGCCTTTACAACCTTTCACCATAAGATGG